ATCTCCAGGCGGCAGGCCAACCCGTTTATATCCGCAGCATTCGGCGGCAGCCTCGAGTAGGCTTTTCTTAGACAGCTGCCACTCGGTTTCCGCATCAGTTGTCATCACTGTGATCTGTTCAAACCGTCGTGCGATGTTGTTTGCAAATTTCGCTCTCGTGTCCACCGAAGACAATGTTGCCCATTTGACTCTCTGGTTGCTTGTGCCATCGGATCTTCGTATGGTACTCCGTTTCTTACAGCGCTGCGTGCCAACAACAAGGTGGTGATAGCTCTGCGCTTTTCTGATGCGAACATCCGTTACAGGGGGTCTTTTGTTAGACGATGCGATTATCAAATCGATCATCGACTTCTGTGCACAAGCTTCCCTGTATTAGGTATGCTGATACACTTTTCGATGCTCGAACAATGTGTTAATAATGGACAGTCCGTTGTTTGCATATAGCCGCAACTAGTTCATGCCGTTACTGTTGTGGTCGCAGGAGCGTTTTTTTTAAATCACGCTTTTCCACTTTTCAGCGTCTACTCCGACATGCGCATTAAAATCGTTGATGAGAATGAGTGATTCCATATTTGGTACGTAACACACTCCAGTTCATGATGAATTCAAGGAACGGGTCATATTCTCCCTCTGAATTGGGGCCATTGACCTTTAGAAGTTCGGCGCTTTGGCTTTGTTTTAGCTTCGATATGAGGATTGCCACTGTTCAGCTGACTGAATTCCGTTCACTGATTCTATCATCGAGGTAGGGATCTACCAGGACACGAATACCGGCTTGCGCTGGCATCGTAATATGAACACCTGAGTAGAAAAACTTCCACCCGCAGAGGTAGAGGATTTCGTATCATTGTCTCTTGACAAGATTCCAACTATGTCGAGTTGGTACCCTGCGGCCTCCTCAACGAGGCACTGATCTTTCCCTCTGAGAGAGGATATATTGGATATATTCCAGTTTATGATTGTAAGTTGCCTGAGGGTGTCGTTCTCCTGGAGCCTTTCCGGAGGTGCTATAATGACATCGCGCTGTGTGTCTCCTCCGTTCAGAACGGGTACAAATCTGTTACTGACTGGTTTCATCATCGTCGACCCATCAGCCATTGTCGTGCTGCTATGCCCCCGGGTGGCAGAGTGTGATGAGCA